TATCGATATTACCGATATATCAAAAGAATAATATCGATATTTATTAATATCGAATTTCGATATTGAGAATAATTCAAACAAAATTTTTAAAAGTTATAATAATTATGAGGTAATTCAAGATAATTTACAAATGAGTCCTGAAAATAAGTGAAATTTGCTTTTCATGCAATTCTGAAACACAAATACCTATTCAACTGGAAAAGGAAAAATCATTCAAGGAATTAATGAAAGTTTAATTTTCATTACCACTGCTGAAATTCTAAACCAAATTCCAAGTGTAGGTTCCTTCTTGCTGTCATTGTTTATCCTGCTTTCGAAAATAGTCTTTCTGTAGATTATGTTGTTGACGTTGCCACGATTGCTAAATATTTTACGGTAATATTTACAAGTTTAGGGTATATTTCTCTATATGCCTGCCTTCCACCAAAACAAAGGATTGGTAGTTATATTAACCACAATGATATTAACCACAAGTGAAGCAGTTTGCTTTGATAAACTAGGAATTATAGACATCTTAGCAAGTTATTGACTCTTCCAACAAAACGATGTTTGCAAAGGATGACCCAAAAAAATATCATGTAGGCCGGGCTTGGAAAATTAAGCAATATTCAAGGCACTTGAAATTAAAATTAAAACAATGCTCGAACAGGACAAGCGATGTGTGATATCTATAGATGAGATGGCTTTAAAATCCAATCTTTTTTTTGATACAGGATGTGATGAAATTATTGGTTTCGAAGATGTTGGAGAGGCAAATAAGAGGAATTCCATATGTAGAAATGTTCTNAGGTAAAACTGTAAAAAGGAAACTTAAGATTCTGTCACATTTTTAAATTAAGAGGTTTTGGTAAAATATCTTGTTTCATTATTTTTTCATTTGGAACCTTACTCAATTAGAACCCTCAGATTGTATTGATGTTGTTAATGAAAGTTTAAGTTAAGATTACATAAAATAACAAAAGCCACTTCTATTCATTTCATCCTTAGTGGACTTATTTATTTCAGAGGATATAAATTGATTATATAATATAAGCATTATTCTATTATCTTAACTTTATTTTAATTTTCTATCTAATGAATTGGATTTACAAAGTAAGTAATTTAATTTATTTCTTAAAAGCCAATTCATCATAAATAATAATAAATTGGCCACATAGTTGAATATTTTCTATTATTACTGCGAAAGTTGTTCAATTAGCAATATGAAAATTGAATGCAGTAAGATGCCCTTCACACTATAATTTTATATTTCACAGTGAGCCCACGTACTATACTAGAACGTAAGAGTATGTATTTTTATTAGTGTATATCGCTGAGAGGTCATTTTTCTCAGTGAACCAGGTTGTCTATCACTCAAAATCTTCGGTTCGGAGTTGGGACACCGAACATCAAAGGATCCGACGTTAATGTCGCTTCTTTGTGATAGGTATTCTCGGAAGGAGTGGTCAATTATGTTTTAACGCTTATGGTGTGTACATATAAGGGATTTCAATGTTTAAAAATTTTAAAATGTCAAGTACTGATACGGTAAAATTTCGGTCGTTCCTTTAGTGCGACTCTGTTCAAGCAGCCTTCTCTGGGAGATCACGTGCACTATGCATGATAATGTTTTGGTGGTTGGTTAGACAAAGTATATATAAAAAAAGGGCATATGTATATCATTTCTTTCTTCTAAGCAGCCCAAGCTACAAATATGACATTTTTTTACTCTTGGCAACACTGACACTGACATACTGACTACTTTGAAAGTCAACAAATCACAGCATACAAAATTTATCATTATATTTGTTTCTTGGGAAATTTAATATCCAATTAAGATAAATCATCAAAAAATGGCTTTATCATGTATTATAAGAAACGCATCCAAAACCTCTGGTAGTGTTACTTGATTTGATTGTGGTATCATAGTATTACATAAGTTTTTCTCCTACAGGTTTTGCCAATATCCTGAAAAATACAGTAACAGTAAGCACTAGAAAACCTTATTCACAACTACTGAATAGAATCAGTCAGAATGTATGTCTACCTGCACGCTGTGCCAGAAATGACCAATTTCTTGTTAAACGTAGTATGTCAGCAGATCACAGCAAATTGTGGGGTATCGAAAAAGCAGTTTCTATTGCTCTCTTGGGAGTGGTTCCTGCTACATTTTTAACACCAAATATCATTTTGGACGACTTATTTGCCATTTTGACTGTAGTACATTTCCACTGGTAAGAAGGGGGTAATCTGTGGCAAGCTTTTGTTAATATTTTAATGTTCCAGGGGATTGGAAGCTTGTGCTGTAGATTATATCAGGCCCATCATATTTGGAGCTGCTATACCAAAACTTGCCCTTGGATTGCTTTACATCATTTCTATAGCTACACTTGGTGGTCTTTTGTATTACAACCACGACTGTATTGGTATCGGTCAAACTGTGAGGAAGTTTTGGGAAATCAAAAAGTAGATATTCTACAACTGCTGTTAAGTTACCAATTTTGTGAATAAATATGAGTTTCAATGTATCATTTTGATTACTTTCATAAAAGTAATTCAGATTAGTTTGTGTTTTAGCAATGAATGAATTTGGAATCATACATTTTAGAGTTTAATTCATGGGTTAACAATAACATGAAATGTTATTTCAAGAATAATTGAAATTTTGAGCCTGATGAAAATGGGTGCTGTTATTAATCTCAGGATCAACCTAAATGTTTATTGAAATAATGTGTTTTGATTATATATAAAGGCTGTAGAATACTTTACTTTTGGTTAGTTTTTTCCGCTCCCTAGCTCGTTTTCTCCGATTTATCATTCCCATATTTTCCCCTTTATCACAATGAATGGCATTTAACTATTCTTTCTTGAACAAGCTCTTCTTTGCTTATCTTGATTGTGGTACTCCTAGAATAGTTGTTCTTTGGCATTTGTAGAATATGTTGCAGTCATCCAACTCTTTTTGTGATCTGTATTTTGTAATCTTACATCTAGAAATATATGGTTTCCGTGCTAAGAATCACACGTTAAAAGGTAAGACTTCGTTAGTCCTTAGCTTGCACAAGTTTTTGACTTTTGAGAGTTGTTAGTAGGGGTGCAACAGCTGGTTAGCGAAAAACAGATTTTAAACATAGATTTTGCTTAGAAATGGTTTAAATATCTGTTGGATCAGTGATAACTGACATTTCCAAATTTTGTGGGGTTTCTCAGGTTTCTGTTGGTTGATTATTGTTTCTGGAATGAACAATCTATCTCTTATCAATATTGAAGATGAATTCATTTCATTTGCTGATGACACCACGATAGTATTCACAAAAAGAACCGGTATGATATCAATGGAAGTATTAAAGATGATTTAGTTGGTGTTATGATGCAAATAGATCCTTTAGGTGCACTTAGTATGACACATCAACAACTAAATTTTTAGACTCGTATGTTGATGATTGTCTCTCGTTTGATATGCACATTTAGAACTTTACAAGAAACTATCAACTGAATTTTTTGCAGTGAGAATTATGTTTAGAGAATTGAGTTTGTCTGCATCAATACTACTTCACATCAATAGAGTCCCATCTAAAGTTTGGGAACTTGTTTCTGGGGAAATACCTGGTGAATATGGTATTTGTGTTACAAAAGAGAGCTCTCGTAGATAGATATATTTGTAAAGAGAAACAGATAATGTGAACTCTCATTCATTTTCCAAAAATTATTATTTATAAATTAGGTTTTATTCATGATCTTATAACACTCGTGTCATATTTTCTGCTAATATTAAGTATTTTTTTTGTTATAAATTTTCATTACCATTCACAAATAAATACGAATATTACAGACGGCAATATCATCAACTATTATGAATAGGTATAAATTTTCCAGTATTGCACTAGTCATAATAAAATATATAAACGACCAAAACAATTTTCCTACAAGGAAACAACATCTTATGAAGTTACCTGTTTTGTCTTTGCTTCTGCTGGAAAAAGATACATCACTGATTTATGCAGAGTGATTTGATTGAGAACCACCGATATGGTGGGACTGGACTTCAGAGTGATACTTGCAGGCAAAATTCACACTAAAAATCTATATGTAATGCTATTTCACTTTCTGTCAGCCCGTCGATGCACTGTCAGTAAGCTTTGTATTGGTATCTGATATTGTGGATGTACGTTTTGAAGTTTTGCAGCTCCCTCTCAACTTTATTGATCACTTCTTCAATTGTGAGCCTCTCAGTAACTGGTACATTTATTGTAATGTTTGCCTTTCTCTCTGCCTTTTCTACAACTTCTCTGTTACTTATCTTCTGTCGCAAGTCTACAATCTCTGGTTATTTTTATCATAATATATGCACCCGTTCTTGCACTCCAAACAAACTCGTTTCATACAGGATATCGAATCAACACACACACACACAATTACTTCATTATTATTTAATGTATTACCTGCATAGGTAACATTTGCATGTAACTTACATAAGCAATTATATCTCTTCCATCTACAGTAGGTGGCTTCACATAAACTGTCCTCTGTTTAGTGAAGTAGTAGTGGCATTTGAGACTACTATTTTCTTTCAAGAAGGCTTTGTTCAGGTTTTTCATGGAACCTAAAAAAATATTTTCTGAACTTTCTTTTTTTTTGTGTGTGACAAGTTTCCTTTTTACCAGCTGATTCGATATTCTCGCACGCGCTCATGTCAGCCACTAGCTTCTTTCGAGCATAGTATTTCAGTTACCTTCTCGGGTTCATTTTTTAGTTTCTCCCGACAAAACGATTTTCCGCTGGTGTTAGGAAAGAGGAAATAAGTACCGCAACATGTATGTTCAGGTATTTCAAAAATTATATTATCTTGAACACGTATGTTACGAAGGGAGTAGAAATTAATATTTTTTTTATGGAATTGCATTCTGAAACAGAAAGATTTTGTTTCTTGTAAATAAAACAAAATTGTCTAACTTGTGTATAGAAATAAATAAGGTAGTACTCATTATAATATTCATATAATAGATGAATAATCATATCAAGTTTTATCTTGAAAAAAAATCAAACATGCGCGTGTTAACCATATGAAACTACGCGCTACGAAACCTTTATTTCAAACAGTTACAGAAAGTCAAATTGTTATTTACAGCACCACTGATTTCATCGGCATCTAAGGTATTGGATGAAATTTTCTATTTATCTCCTACTTGGTTATCAGTATTTCGGTCCTTGCTCGAAATCACAGAAAAGGTTTGTGATAGATGATATATGTATCAATCAACTGAATCAACTCGATTTTGCTTGCATAAGGCACGATATTTTGCTTATTCACAGAATTCAAACTACCTTGCCGCCAGACACAGAGCAGATCAAGAGCTCGAAGAAACTCACTGGAGTCTATCCAAAGCAAAAAAAGCTTCTAGGTGATGACCAGTTTCATTTGTAACAACAATTTTTATGAAGCTGGAGCTGATAAAATTGTAATTCAGTAGCTATTACTTCTTGACAGAGAGCAAGTTATAACCATGTTTGGTCATTCACTCATTAGCTTTCTCGAGGATGCATATAAAACATATGGTTCACCATATTACAAAAATTCGGATGAATTCAGAATGCCAATAAATTTTCAAGACCTCATTCTCAATATTATAGACAGTTACATTCATATGGAGGAAAAGTTCACCCTGTTTAATGTCACCAAGCTACCTATCCAATAACGCCCTCACGTATCTCGTCAACGACATTCGTTATGAAATGGGGTGGCGAGCAAGTGGCTGTTGTTCGAAAAGCCGGCATAACCACCACAATTAAAACAATGATATTATTCGGACAAACGACATGCAAATTTGCTACCACCGATAGGATAGGGGCTTGATGTGAATAAATAAGATATATTGGATTCCGTCAGCAATGTATTCAGTGGTGAATTTTACCCATGAAGTATCTCAGAGGCTCTGCTAAAAATTACAATTGGGAGCTTATTCTGATTATAGCACGATAATTCAAGTCGATGCAGATTTGAAAAATAATAGAATGAAATGGAGACGAATCAGGCATATTGAACTGGAAGACCACCAGAAACTAAAACTTCTGAACCTTCAATTGAAGTGGTAATAATGGTAAGCAAATTCAAATATATGGGCCGTGAAGACAACGAATAGTCTGAAAAACCTCGATACATCATTATTGCCTTCCAAAACACCGACCAATCCAAGAATATATCAAAGGATGTAACAAAATTCATACATGCGAGTATTATTATTATTATTATTCTATATTTGAACTCAGAAGTATACCCATATGAGCGCTGGTTGTTATAAAAGTTAAATAATTATTTTGGTATGTCAGATAAGGTATTGATAATTCAGGTAACATTTTTATTATTACAGGTACCTATTGCAGGTACCGAAAAGACATCGACTGTATCATTGCATACGGATTTGTTTGTCAAAATGCGTCAGTTTACTTGATAATGGTTTAACAATCCGAAACCAATCATAACAAATGAAAATCTTGGTAGAAATTTGACAAAAGTTAAATTCCTTATACTATATTGAGTACTGTAAACAAGTTATAGCTGCATCTCGTGAACAGAGCCCCAAGCAAGTAACAAATAAATACTTGGTAGAAATTTGACAAAAGTCGAATTCCTTATACTATATTGAGTACTGTAAACAAGTTATAGCTGCATCTCGTGAACAGAGCCCCAAGCAAGGAAGAAATCATGTCAAGTACCAATAATCTCAAACAAAAGTCAAATTAATTCTGAGGACTGTCTGGAGGAGAGATTCATACGTATAAGAAAATAAATATTTCGAAAAGGAGTGTCAAACATTTATCTCTCTTAATGTACCTACACAGTAGGTGCTCACCGGAAAACAACTACTTCCTCGGCTAATACCACGATGGACATTGAATTATATCCGATAGTCTTTCATGAAAGATACTGTCGCAACTCAGTACTCTCTTGGCTTATTAACGAGAGCATTTTATTCGATGTTTCACCCATTCATCATTCATCCAAATAATGAAAGAACTCATTTTAAAACTTAATTGAATATTTATTGTAACGAAATGGGGAAAATACTTACACTGAAATGTTAACCAAAAATACAATGAATCATCTGTTTAAAATCTGTTTTTCAGTTAATCAGCTGCCGCCCCCATACGAACGACAACTCTCAGAAGTTGAGAAACTTGTGCGAGCTAAGGACTAACGAGGTCTTACCTTTTAACGTGTGATTCCTAACACGGTTGCAGAATCATTCCAGCTTCAACCAGATAAATTC